CCCCTGACCTCACTTCACCCACCCCACCCTACAGCGCTGGGATCCCAGGGATGCACTGGAGCTGTGGTGCAGCCAGCCCAAGGCAGGGGGGTGCTGGGTGCTCACCTCCACATCCGTCAGGAAGTGGATGGCCTCCGGCAGTGTCACCAGGCGGTTCTTGTTCAGCACCAGCTTCCTCAGCTTGGAGCACCTGTGGGCCAGCGATGCTGGTGATGGGCCAGCCCAGGGTGACGTCCTGTCACCGCACAGTCTGTGTGTCCCCTCTTGGGATCCAGCTGTGGGCTGTTTTCTACCTGCACAGGCTCTCAGGGATGAGCTCCAGGTTGTTGTTGGCCGCCATGAACTCCTCGAGGTTGGTGAGCTTGCCAATGCCCGAGGGGATCCCGTCAAAGTCCAGCTTATTGGAGTTCAGGTACATCTTCTTCAGCTTGGTCAGCTTGCAGATGGCTGACTGGGGAAGGGGGAGAAGGTGGGGTGAGGAAGAACCATGGAAGCACGGGCAGGGATGGCACGTATGGAAAGGGACATACAGGTAAGGAGGTGAGCGCGTTGCGGGACAGGTTGAGGGTCTCCAGCTGGGTCCACTGGTCGATGCAGAGGGACAGCTCCGTGATCTGGTTGCTGCTGAGGTTGAGGCGCCGCAGGCTGCCCAGGGTGTAGAGGCACTCGGGGACACGGCTGAGGTCGTTGCAGGACAAGTCCACGTCTGGGGGATGAGACAACACAGTGACAACACCAGCCAGACCCATACCAGGGGCTGGGAGAGCCCCTGCAGGGCTCCATGGGACCCCAGGCCTACCTGCCAGGTTCACCAGGCCCTCGAGGCTGGTGGGCAGGTTGCTCTGCGTGCGCTGGGTGTTCCGGAGGTGGAGGGTCTGCAGGGCTGTCATTGCTGGGAGCTGCCTGCGGAGCACAGGCCAGGGAGAGCCTCAGGATGGAGCAGGCACCAGCAGACTGGGATCCAGCCTGGAAGGTAGGGCCTTACCGGAGCTGTGCGTGCAGGAGGGGGTTGTTGTTGAGGATGAGGGTCTGGAGGTGGACCAGGCGTCTCATCTGTGGCGGGAGGCTCTCCAGCTTGTTGTCGCTCAGGTCAAGGTAGAGCAGGTCCGTCAGGTTGATGAAGAGCTGGTTGGGGATGGTGTCGATGCTGTGGGAATATGGGGATGTGTAGGGCTGCCTGGGAGCTGCACCAGCCCCGGGCCTCCTTCGAGGAGGGGCAGAGAGCAGCACCCAGTGACAGATGGAGGTGGCTGTGGCCAGAGGGAGATGGTCACCCCGGGTCTGGACCCACCTGTTGTGGCCGAGGTTGAGGACCAGCATGTTCTTGGCATTCTCCAGCTCCCGGGGACACTCCGTGAGCTGGTTGTAGCTCAGGTCCTGGGAAACATGGGAGCACAAAGCAGGTGTCACCCCCGGCCCTGCATCCAGCCACCACCTCCCAAACCTGAGGAGTGAGGGGCATCTCTGGGGGCACTGCAGCAGGAGCTGGATCAGCATATAGGGAACCCAGCTATGGCTGGAGGCGCTGCCAAAGGGTCATCCAGCCCACAGGCAGCTTCCCTGGAGCTCAGGCATGGGCTTGGGACTGGTGCTCCTCAAGGAGCACGAGGGGACACTGAGGTGCAGGAATGGGATTCAGGAGGAGACTCTGCACCCACCAGCACCGAGAGGTCATCCAGCTGGAAGATGTCATCAGGGACTCCTGAGTTCTTCAGGCTGTTTGCACGAGCCACGATGGCCTGGAAAGGGGAGACAGGCAGGAATTCAGCTGCCTGCTGAGCATCCCAAGGTGGCCAGGTATGATCCTTGTGTGGCCCCAGATCCGAGAGGTGCCTGGGGACACCTGGTGCAGGAGGGGGACACTCACCCGGAGGCAGGGCAGGCCAGAGAGCTCTCCATGGAGCGTGGTGAGGCTGTTGTGACTCACAGAGAGATGTTCCTGCAGGGAAGCCCCAGACAAGCCCCAGTGAGAGGAGCCGGGGCTGCTCAGAGCAACAGCTGGGACCCCACATGGGTGTGGGGGCTCCTCCATTCCAACAGGACTGGGGACTTGGAAGCCCTGACCCTCACAGGGCTGCTGGGACACTCCCAGTCTCAAACTGGTTGGTTGGCCCCAGCGTGCCCACGCTGCCCTCACATCCCTCATTCCTGGGGTAGCCTTGGCTGGGACACCCCAGCCCTGCTCTGGGATGCCACTGGGTTGGCCTGTGGCAGTCCCACACAGTCTCTGAGCAAACAGATCCCAGTCCTTGGAAACAGGAAATCAACACTTCTCACAGGGTGATCTGGAAACAGGCAGACGTGGGGTAGGTGGGGGGTGGGAGGAATCTCCCAGGGGAAACGTTTTCCTCTGGGTATCACCAGCCCGGCTGTTGCCTGCTCAGGAAAACAAGGAATTGGCAGGCTGTGGGAGGGATGCCAGGATTTGAGGATTTAAGTCTCGTCGTGTCCCCTGAGCATGTGGCAGGGCCAGGGGGAGCACGGCTCCGAGCAGCAGGGAGGGATTCCCTGCACCTGGCACAGGGACGGGGACTCCTGGCAGCATTTAAAGCGTTGTGTTTGTCTGACTGAACCAACTGAAAGAGGTTCCTGAGGTGCTCCTGGACATCACCAAAGCAAAGCTGAGCCACGGGCTCACCAAGGAGCTCCACCAAGGAAGGGCTTGGTAGAGCCACCCAAAAAACAAAGCCAGGCAGCTGCCAGCTCCTGCTCCTTATATATTTCAGCAGAAGAGGAGAAAAAAAAGCCCCAAAACCTTAATCCTCTCCACACTAATCATCCCCCATCCCATCTGTTAAGGGGCATAGGATCTAAGCATGGTTTGTCATCTGGTTTTCTAGGAAAACAAGGTGAAACCAACTCCCAGCCTGTCTCAACCCCACTCCTGACAGCTCCTGCATCTGATTTCAACCACACGTCGTAGCTCAGCCCTATTATTAGACACTGGAGCATCCGCCAACGAGCCACAGGGCTGGCAGGGAGCAGGCTCCCATCGGATCCCACGGCTCCAGCGGGACAGTGGAGCCCCATTCCCTCCTGAAACGTGGGGCTCACCAGCTTCTGGAGGGCAGCGAGCTCCTCGGGCAGGTAACAGAGCCCTGTGCGGTTCAGCTTCAGCCAGCGCAGGCTGGTCATGGCCTTCACGTGCTCCGGGAAGTACCCGCCCTGCGGGAGGAGGAGGGTGAGGAGACCCCCTGCCCCATGGGGTGGGGAACAGGGGACCTCGCTCTGACTGGCCCTGTGTGGCTGGGATTGTCCATTACTATGGGATCAGGAGTTGGGGGGGGCTGGGATCATCCAGTCCCATAAGGTTGGGAACTGGGGGACTGGGATCTCCCAGTCCTGGGGGACTGGGGGCTGTGATCACTTAGTGCTATGGGATTGGGAGCTTGGGGGGGTTGGGATCGCTCAGTCCTATGGGACTGGGAGCTTGGGGCCATGATGACCCAGTCCTATGGGACTGGTAGCTGGAAGCACCCGGTACTATGGTTTTGGGGGTGAGAGACCAGGATTGCCCAATCCCATGGGATTGGTAGCTCGGATCACACAGTCCCATGGGATTGGGATCTGGGGGACCAGGATCGCCCGGTCCTATGGGATTAGGAGGTGGGATCACATAGTCAGTCCCATGGAATTGGGAACTGAGGTTTGGGATCACCCACTTTCATGGGACTAGGATCTGGAGAGGGTCGGGATCACCTAGTTCTATGGGATGGGGAGCTGAGGGGCTGGGATACCCCAGCACTATGGGGCTGGGGTCCAGAATCCCCCAGTCCAATGGGATTGGGAAGTAGAGGATCGGAGACCACCTGTCTCTCTGGGACCCCATGGAGGCCCGCAGGTTGCCCAGCCATAGAGGGTGGGGGCTCAGGGACCGCCCACCCTGGACACCACCCCCGCTGTACCGGGATTCCCCAGCCCGGGGGGCCGGACCGGGCCTGACAGCGCCGCGCGGGGCCCGGGCTCGCCGGTCCCTGTGGCCGGGGCGTCCCCACTCCCGTTCCCTCTCCCCCGCACCTTGAAGTCGTTGCCGCTCAGGTCGACGCCGCGCACGAAGGGCAGGACGCCGGTGGCCGCCATGGCGGAGGGACGGGACGGGACGGGAAGGGAGGGGCGGGGGGACCCTGCGGAGCCGCGCCCTGACAGGCCCCGCCCCCGGCCCCGCCCCGGCCGTGACGCGCGAAAGCGATTGGGCGGGGCCGGGAGCCACTTCCGCGCGCGGGTGGGCGGGGCCGCCCCGGGCCGCGCCCTCATTGGCTGAGGCCGCGCGGGGGGCGCGCGGTGAGTGGGGGGGGGGGCCGGGTCCGATTCGGATCCTTGTCCTGTTCCGGTCCCGGTCCCGCTCCCGGCGGTGCCGCGGCCCGGCCGCCTCCCCCCGGGCAGCGGGGGGGTCTCCGTCCCGGTCCCTCCCGGAGCCCGCGGTACCGCCCCAGCGCCGCCGGTGCCCTCCGGGGCGGCTGCGGCAGGGCCGGGTGAGGAGCGAGTGACCCTTCCCCGGCATGAGCGGTTTTTCCCCGCGGTGTCCCTTCCTTCCCTAAAATGTCCTTTCCTTCCCTAGGGTGTCCCTTCCCCGAGATACCCGTTTTCCTGGGTGTCCCTTCCTTCCCTGGCGTGTCCATTCCCCGGGGCGCCCCTTCCTTCCTTGGGGTGTCTCTTCCTTCCTTCGAGTGTCACTTCCCCGGGATGCCCCCTCTTTCCCCGGGGTGTCCCTTCCTTCCCCGGGGTGTCCCTTCCTTCCCCG